AGGATTCTTAATGTAATGACGATAAACTTATGTTTAATAAATGTCTTGCATTTAATGCTTGTTTGCAGCAAAAAAAAGAAAAAAAAAAATTTCATAAAATTTAATTAAAACAATAAATTTTAATATATATAGTATATAACATATATTTAATAATTTGGCTTATTATTATTAACTATTAGTTTAAAATAATGTTCCAGACTTTATTTCCTAATATACTGTATATAAACAATAATTTTGAAAAAAAAATTTTTTTTTTAATGCAAGTTTTACTTTTATATCTAATTTACATTTTAAAATAATTTATTTGACAAAATATTACATCATACATACGTATATATATATTTAAATAAGTTAAATTTTATTTTTTAAAATAATACTGTATCTACAATATTGTATTATATTTATATTTATAACTGTCTACAATAATTTTCAAATACATGACTTAAATTATTAAAAACAGATTTATTAAGTCTAATCGATAATAGTAATTCAAATAAGGATGGTGACGAAATATGCAAGATTACTAGAAAATTAGAGTGACGAATAATAGATGATGTGAGAAGACTAATGATATTATTGCAAGATCTTCGAAATTTATCATTCATTCGTTGATACGTATAATACATAAATCCAATATAAATTTTTAACATACACGATCCGTACAGCACCATGCATCATGCGTACGTGAAATTCAAAATGCATCTGCAATCACTGATCAAAGGTCTTCTTCTGGGGATTTGGAACTTGATACCTCAACTTCCTTGCCTTGAACGAAAAATAAGCGCGCCTCATATCGACTTGAATTTTTAATACTGTAGTCATTACCTAAAAGCAAAAATTAGTGTCAGGCATTCATTATAAAGAACACGGGTAATAATAAATTACCTCTTGGAACGAAAAATTGTCCGCTATCTCTGACCGTAAACGATTGCTCACTGATCGTAAATATCACGGGTCCTTTTATCACAACAAATACCTACATAGGAATCATGTAAATGACATGTAATTTTCTAAAAACTTTTAAATCTTGATAATTACCAAGGCACTATCGCCAGAACTCTTTTTCGGTTTTTCACACCCCTTTGGTATAACGACATATCCTGATGAAAAAAAGTTCTCTTCGTGAAAAGTTTTTTGGAGTTTGTATTTGTTATTATCCACAGTTTTAGGCCTTAGCATATTTAAATTATAAACAAGCTCTACAATGTATTCATAAAGAAATGTCGTTTAATTCGAGCGTTGAATAGATTATCAACACACGCACAGGAAACTTACGTTTCGAAACTACTTCATTTTCACCCCAGACCTGAACGTCGCCCTCGAACTTAGTCGCATCATCTGTTCTTTTTGTTTTCTTGGTGTTACCACGTTTACGTTTCTTTGAGTTGGAGGCTTCCGAGTCTGAATCATCATTTAACTCCTCCTCTACAAGAGGAATACGGATCACCTCTGATAATGCATGAATAGAAATATTTCATCGTCGATGCTATTATTTTTATATTTATTTAAAATAAAAAAGGAAAGCATTTTAACAAACCAGTTTTGTCACTTCTATATACAACCCTTTCGTTTCTCCAGAATTCCACAGGTTTTATACGTTGGCGCTTGCTTCGTCGAACTTTAATTGAATTATATGCATTCACGTGAATAACCTTTTAGATAAGATGATTTAGAAAAATGCACGTTGTTACCTCTATCATCTTCGGGCTTTTCATTAAGGTTATTTACTGCAACGTCGAGAATATCTTGTGTGACGGATTTATTTCGTGCTGGTCTACTACTATTATCTTTACGCAAAACACGTTTGCGAGGTACAACATTAGTGCGACTTTTGGCGCGTCGAGAAGAATTTTGAGATTTATTGCGATTTTCATCTGAACTTTCGACTCGGTATTCGTCCTCCGAACCTTCATGTGTTTCTGAATCGACAGATTGTCCGCGTCGGATACTTTGATTCGTTTGAGTAATTTTTTTGTTGATCTCCTCATCTGTATTGATTATGCATATTAAATTTGTGCCATTTAGTTTTATGAGACATTTAACCAAGAATAACGGTTAAATTTAAGGTTGAGTAAGATGGAATAACTTGATATGTATAATATTGATACCAAAATATTGTTCGTCATATTCATCAAGTGTTTCAATGCGCAGAGGTCTTTTTTCACGTATACTTTTTTTTTGTAACTTCTTTTGTTGTTTGGTTACTTTACTGGATCGTTTGATTCCTTTCTCATATGAATTAGATTTTACTTTACTCGAACTTTGAACCACCTCACTAGGACTATTCTCATCTTCAGATTGCTCGTCATCTTCGACAGTCGTATAAGGAACATTATCCTCTAAGTCAACAATCAATTTAAAACGCCCTCTCCCCTTTGAGCGCTTAGGAGACTTTGAGGGTTTAGGAGTTTCTTCATGATCATCATCATCATCATCACGCTGCTCATTCTCATAAGATCCAGCCTCGGGTTCATTGACATCATCCTCATTCATATGATCTTTAGAATTACCGTTCGAAATAACAGCACTATTCAGAATATCTCTAGTAAGACACGGACCCGGGTCGGTAATTTCTCTCTGCGAAATCTGAAGTGAATCCTCTCTTGATGAAATTTGCTGAGGAAGCGTCGAGGATATATGTTCTTAGAAAACATACTATATCAGCTTAATTGAATAAAATATCTTAAGAGAAAACGCGCCCAATTCAGTTAAACCTTACCATCTGATACAAGAGACATTGATACCTCCAGTGAATTAGACGCTTCCAATTTATCTTGGGAACGTTCATTTGGCTGATTAATGTTTTCATCAATCAATTGTAATGACGCGTGCGATAGTTCCCTAGCTTCGGCTGCAGGACTACCATAAGCTATGTTTTCGTTAGCTACGTGTGGTGATTCAACAGCTTGCGACAAATCATGTTCAGAGACAAACTCGGCTTCTTTTGTCGATAAACTATGATCGTCCTGAAGTAACTCTTGAGATTCTGTTCTGTCTTTGGAACTGGCTGCCTGAAAAAAGGAATTGATGTCATCTAGCCCATTTACTCCTTTTGACACGTCCTGTGGTAACTTCACCCCAGTTTTCCTGTTTCAAAAAGATAATTAATTAAGAAAAACTCAACGACATTATTAAACGACACGTACCTTCCGCGAATCCCTATATCTGTGAACGCTTTCTGTTTTCTTTTGCTTCTAGAAGTATTTGAAGTATCCATCGTAACAGGAATTCCGAAAAGAAAAAAAACAAACTATAACCGTTCTGATCACGTCCATTAATATATTTCGAAATTTCTCAGTTGTCTGTACAACAACAGTTTTTACGCGTGATATTTTTTAAATATCGTAATTTATTATAGAACCTACCATATTTATTATACAAATTCAACTCACTTGTTAATAGTACAAGACCTCTAGATAATGATTTATCTATTTATGAAATTTTAACCTTGACATGAGCTCAGTTCATAATACTTTATTGCGATTTATTTCATTTGTATTACTACATTAGAATTAGGAATGTTAAACGGTTTAAATGAACCGGTTCGGTTTTTCGAACTGGATAAGCCGAACCTAAACTGGCAGTTTAACTGGTTCGGTCACATAATACAGTATAAATTAATAAAAAAATTATTCCTCTAATCAGATTGCAATTCTTGTTTATTAATTAATTTATAAATACAATAATACATTGAACCCTAGAGATTTATATTAAAGCTAAACTATGTGTATTGCAGAACATCCATCAACAAGTTATTTTTAGATTTGTATGTAATTCTTGAATCCTTAATTTCAAGATCACCATGTTGTCCACATGATTTAACTATTTACTAACTATTTCACTACAAGGAAGTTGGTTCATTAAGCTATTACTGTATGATATTAACTATCTTAGATTTTTCAAATCTTAATTCTTTAAGTGTAATTATAAGGATAAAAAAGTTATTTTCTTTTCAAGACTATTTCTTGATTTTGAGAAAAATCACAGCCAGCTTACTATAGTTTTGAATATTGGAATTGAACAAAATCACAAGAAATTGTATGAGGTTCGAAACACTATTAAAAATGATAGTGGAGTATATCTTACCTATTAAATTTAATATAAATTTGAAAATAATTAGAATTCTTACAGCTTATATTTAGATTGTTACCTTAATATGAACCTGTAATTCTAAAAGATAAAAAATTTTATTTTTTAAGAAAAAAAAGTAATTAAAAAGTTTGTTCTTAGTAAATAAAAATCCTTCAATATTAATTTTAGTCTATTGGAATAAATTTTTTATTACTATCTGCAGTTAAACAAAATATTTAATTTCTATTATTTTATTGATAATCAAGAATATTAAAAATACTTATAACAAGACTTATAGTACAATTATTGCTTACAAAGTTTTATAATCTAAATACTTAATACTTTCTTAAGATAATTATCAATAAAGAAAGCTTGTTACTGAATTGAAATAAGATTTTTTTTAATTTTGAAAAAAAAAAATCCAATTTAATAGAAAAAGAAAAAAACATCAAATCACTTTTATTCAAGGAGATATCACAATACTTTATTTTTTTACTTTCTTCAATTACATTATTATTGTTATGTTATGTGACAGGAATATGTAAGGATATATATCTTGTTTACTTTTCTACTATATGTTAATTAATTAATTCAAAATCTTAATTAATTACTAATTAAAGATTTTAGTGTAATCAAAAATTCAATATCAAATTGAAATAAGCAAAATTTTTCAAAATTTTGGAAAATTTTATTGATATACTTAAAAGAGTTACTGCAAATATTTGATTAGTAAAAAGAGTTATCTCTTAAATTATAGTGTATTTTTTTTATAACATTAAAAAATTTTTAACTAAAAAGTTACTTTTCATTTACTTTTTTAAATAATTAAAATATTTTTTAAAAAATTTATATAATATTAGTTTTAATTTTTTTTTTTTTTTTTAATACCAGAATAGCAATTAATATCTTTATTATTTATAAGAGATTGCTGTGTGTCAATATTACAAATCTAAAAATAATATATATCTTTCTTTGCTAAGAAGAGTCTAATGTAAAATGCAACAAAAGTGGTTCCAACCATTTTAGTATTGTTCTATAAACCCACCTAAGCGTTAGTAAAATATAATATTAAAATCTAGACTTAATACTCAAACAGGTACCTAGTGTGAACTAGGGAGGATTAGAAATATCCAAACATATGAAGGCCCTGCAGCCAAGTATACAAATTGACCTCCAAGTTATAAATAGAATTTGACATGCTTGCTTTCCAAAGTTGGCTTGATATATAGCAGGCGGAGAAGTGGAGAAGAAGAGAGTTAGTTATTTTTTTTTACGTATGAAGGCACTGTAACCACTTTTCACAGGTTGGCCTCCAAGTTACATAAAGAGTTTGGCATATCCATTTTCCAAGTGTGGTGGAAGTGTCCAATGAATAAAGTGAATTGGAATTTCTTAAAGACATTGTTATCTAACCATGCACATGGACCTACATTGTCGAGGAGTGATTGAGAAACTTCTGTTGTTGACACCAGCTCCGTTTGCGAGATAACTAGAATCTCTAGTCATCATGTGTCATCTTACTAGGTATCCCAGACACTACATGACACCTTTTTCGAAAAACACAATCTCAATGCCCACTGGATCAGCGTGTAAAGCAGCTTTGTATGAGAAACAGTATATAACAAATTATGGTGCCAGATATCATATAGAACTATTCAATCACCTTTACCTGGAATTGAACCGGTATTTTGTAATCTGACCTGTGAAGTGCTAACCACTGCACTATAGATTCACAGGTCAGTTTTAATATTTATTTTTCTTACAGTTAAAATGTTTTATGTAAGCAAACTAGCATTAGACTTATTAACTTAGCTAGTTAGATAAGAGATATTATTGCTTTCTTCATGTATAAATTTCAAACAATTAAAAAAAACTCTTTTTCACTTCCCTCCATATGCTTGAAATTTTCCTTTTTAAGAAATTTTTAAGTTGTTTTTTTTTTCTTTGCTTTTTCTCTTCCCCTAATACAATTTTTCTTTTTTATTACTCCCTTCTTCCCTCTTCCTTTGTTTTTCCCTTCTCTTTTATAAACTTTTCTTTTATATATATCCCTTTTCTCTTCTTTTTTTTCCTCTCCCTGCCAAAGTTAGGTTTTTTTCTTCTCTCTAAAGTTTTTCCTTTCTAGGCTTCTCTTTCTCTTAAAAGCTACCGCTCTCCATTTCATTACCTCTCTGGCCAGTTGACTCCCTTCTTTCAAGAACTATATTAGGAAATAGTTACTTCTTTTATGTTGTGGACTATACATGTTACTGAAATTCGTAAATCCTTAATACAAT